GTGCTGCGGACGACAATTCGACGACCTCCACTCAACTTCCCCCAGCTGTCCCACCCCCTTTTCACACACCCCCTTGCTGCACCCCTAGCTCCACTCCCACGACACCCCCCTAGCGCCACTCCCTCGGCTCCCACACACCCACCCCCCTCAGCGGCAGCTGCAGCAGTGGGAGACGGAGAAGGAGGAGGAGGAGGGGACGGCGCACACACCCGGCACCCCCATACCCGCCACCCCCAAACCCTAAACGCAGGCGGCGCGTAGGGGCGGCGTGCGAGCGGAAGGGGGGCGGGGCGCGGGTCCCTGGGGAGCTGCTACGGGCGCCGGGTAGGGCGGCTCGCGGGCCCCCAGGGCGCCTCGACGGGCGACGGGAGGGGGCGCGACGTGCGGGCCCCCAGGGCGCCGCGACGGGCGACGGGAGGGGGGGGGGGGGGGGGGGGGGGGGGGGGGGGGGGATGCGCGGGCCCCCAGGGCGCCGCAACGGGCGACGGGATAGGGCGGCCTGCGGGCCCCCAAGGCACCGCGACGGGCGACGGGAAGGGGAGGCGACGCGCGGGCCGCGGGGCGACGCGACGGGCTCCCGGGGCCGACGTGACGGGCTCCAGGGGGCGACGCGACGGGCTTGCGGGGCGACGCGACGGGCTCCTGGGGGCGACGCCACGGTCGACGGGGCAGAAAACCGCCGCGCGCCTCGGGGCGCACGGCGGGCAGAAAACCGCCGCGCGTTCGGGGTGCGCGGTGAGCAGAAAACCGCCGCGCGCCCCGAGCGCGTGGCGGGAAGAAAAATCCGTCGCGCGCCACGGGGCGCGCGACACACAGAACAGCAGCGGAAGCTAACGGGCGGGACCACCCACAGGATCGACCCAGGAGGGTCGACCTGCTCTGATAGCATGTCAGAAGGCTAAGCGAAAAACGAGAAATAGACAAGAGGGGGTTTTCACTAACAAGCATGGGGATACATATAGCAAACCCTAGAAGGGTTGTACTCGCTATAGAGTACCCCACTGCAGGCTAGACAACCATCACATTCTGACAAACTACCCGCCCCAGAGGAAGAATTACTGACCGAGTACGGACCTCACCTCATCCCGGTCACAACGGACGTAAGGAGCTACCTTTGCCTCGACACAAGAGGAGCAGTGGTTGGTGACACCGACTTCGAAGAAGGTGAAATTACTCAACCGGAAGATCGGCGACCCAAAACAAAGTCTTCCGAAAGACCACTGGAGCTTCCTGTGACGATCGATACCACAACCATCGATGACTCCAGCCTAGCGTGTCACGGAACGAAACTGGAAACTCTTCGCATAGCAACTATTGAAGTCCTTGTCCCCGAAGAACTTGCCGAGGAAATAAGAAGCCCAAAAGCAGATTAGATATTAGCATGAGAGAAGCAGCCACATGAAGATATCGCGCTAATGCTGACATCTGGCATAAACGACTCGGACACCCCTTAGTCGAAATGCTCAAGAACTGCATTAACGCAAAGGTGTTCGCGGAAGACGCACTGCTACTGCCCAACGGAAAATTACTCAAGCCCAGGGAGGACTTACCTAGCTGCACTGCTTGCTCAGAAGCGGCACTAGGGCACACTCCCTTCGCCGGAAAAATTCATGGCGCCAAGCGGTACGAGCCTCTCAACAAGGTGTACAGCGACTTCCTGGTACTTACAGCAGAAGGACTGAAAAAGGAGCAGTATACGATTTGGTACACGTTTTGTCTGGGTCGGGAACGTCACCATCCGCCATCTCGCTTTCCACTCCTTTGACTGGCTAAAAATGGAAAAAACGCTAAGTGAAGCTATGAAGCTAAAAGCCTTCCAGACAGACGGAGCACTCGAATATTAGACAGTGGAGTTCAAAACACTCTATGCAAATGAGGGAATCCGGAGGATGATCTCCCTCCCCTATGCTCACGAGCAACAGGGTCTTGCAGAGAGAACAGGAGCCTCACGAAATAAAAATGCGAGCCTTCATGAAACAGTGAGCTGTGCCGACCATTTATTGGCCCTTCACAATGGCGCATACTGTGCGCCTGCACAACATGCTTTCTTCAAAAGCCCTGCCCACCAACAACTCACCCTTCGAGAACTAGACAGGAAAAAATGCTTCAGCTGTTCGGCTGCATGGTACAGTACCGTCCCCATACCGCCCGAACCGGATATCTTGAAGACCGCGCATGTTGAGGCATCCACCTCGGCATCGAACCGGAGTATTACGCTTGGACAATTCTCGACTTTGCCACCCACCAAGTCACGCGTTCACATGATTGCATCTTCTACAAAAAAGCTGACGCTGCCATTATACCGCCAGCACTGCACTGCACAAGACGCACCCGACAACATTTTCCAAGGGGAGCACAGCTACACAAATGATTAGGACGAGGTTGACATGCTAGGACAACAATCGGACGATCAAATCACGGAGGAGGCATCCTTCATACCCGTTACTGAGGAATTCGGCACAGCAACATTCTTCCCAATTTATCCCGATCGGCACGAAGCAGTACAAGCACATCGTAACTATGAAAAAGACACCAACCTCAATTCCTCCCGCGATTCCATTCGCGACATTCCCGGCGATTACGACGATGTAGTAGAAGTCACCAACACCGCTGAATCCAACCTCACCGGACTTTGCATACTTGGCCTTGCAGTCGCCATCCATAGTAACCAGCAGCTTGTTGAGCCTACCACTGTCTGCCAAGCTCTGCAGGACCCCTACGCCGAGAAGTAGAGAGCAGCCATGGCCACCGAAGTAGCGGCACTCAGTGGGCAAGGTACCTGGAAGCTGGTACCACGCGGAATAGCAAATGGGAGAAAATTTCCTAGCGGCAAATGGGTGTTCCGGATTAAAACACTCACGGTCAGCTCAATCGACAAAAACAAAGCGTGCTGGGTAGTCCAACGCTTCGAGCGAACCCAGTTCGTCGATTATGACATGATGTTCACACCTGTCGACCAGCATACCTCAGAATGCATTCTCATCTGCGTCGCTGCCAGATTGACATGTCAAACGCGTTTCTCTACGTGATCGTCGACGCCATTATCTCCATCGAGAAACCGCACATATTTGAGGAGGATGGCGACGCCGTGTGCCTCCTTCTGAAATCCCTCTACGGAATCAAGCAGACACCGCGCCAATGGGAGCAGTCCCTCCACGCCGTGCTCATCGAGCTCAGATTCCGACAACTACTCCACGATCAACAGATGTACCAGCTTGAGTCCCACGGGAGCTTTATCCTACTCGTCGCCTATGTGGACGACCTGCTCTACACCGGGGACAAGCTGGAGCTGCTCGACCGCTTCGAGAACGACATCAAGCAGAAGCTAGAGGTGACTGCAAATCACAACGTCACCCAGTTCCTTGGTCTCAACGTCACACAGTCGGCCAACACGATCCACCTGTCAGCCGCGAAATACGCTGAGACGCTCGCCAAGAAGTTTGGCATCACTCCCATCAACCTCACCACACCCTTCCGAGTACCTTCGCCTAATCACAAGCCCGACACAACCCCACTATCCGACGCCGATCATCGCCTCTACCAGAAGCAGCTCAGGTGCCTACTCTTTGCCGCCGTCACGTGCTGACCGGATTTATGGTACGTCGTTAGCCAGCTCGCCCAGTACCTGCGCCGACCTGAAGGGGAGAACATGGCAGACCTACAACGTGCCCTACAGTACTTCATCTCCACTCCCGACGTCGGCCTAACCTACAAAGCAAACCTAACGGCTAATCTACAACTTTACTAGCTATGTGGATGCCGACCACGATGGGGACATAGAGAACAGGAGGTCCTGCACAGGCTTCATTTTCAAACTTGAGCCCGCGGGAATCATCTCTTGGAACTCTCAGAAGCAGGAGCTTATTGCTTTTTTTCCGCCGAAGCTGAGTTCATCGCCGGGAGCCTTTACGTGACGGAACTTTGACAGGAACAAAAAAAGCAACGAATGGGTCATTCAAGTTACTTAGCGGCAGTCAGACCGCAATACAGATCGTGAATAAGCCCAGCTTCTTCAACCGCACGAAACGCATCGCCCTCCATTATTTCTTCGTCGAAGATGAAATCGACAAAGGCAAAGTCCAACTCACCTACTGCTCAATCGGCAAAATGGTAGTTGATTTCCTGATGAAGAAATTGGCACGTAAAAAATTCCATACTGTGCGGACCTGTGCAGAGTCATAAAGAAGAGCCATGTGGCACACCTTCAGGAATAAATGGGACTGTTGGAGTAAAAAGGGAAAAAACTGAAGCTTTTCGAAGGTGCAGCAATATCGCATCTGCTGCTATCGAAGCAGCACCTGTATCATTAGCGCGTTAGCCCATATATGGCACGCAGGTTAACAGTCGCAAGTCGATTGTCGTGATTGTTGACCTTCCTGGACCAAACGGTTTCCTATGAGAATGGCGACATGCGTAACTGTAGCAACAATGAGGCATCTGAAGAACACAATAGTCGCAGATACTATAGCAATGCATGTATTACAGTTATAAAGAGGAAATTTACACCTTTGAGTGCATGGATAGCTAGGATCTATTTGTTGTGTAATGCTTAATTGCGAAAGAAATTCGGGACATTGAAATTGGCCCAGGGAACAGTGCGCGAAACTGGGGTGTTTAATTGGGGTGAATCAGAACCACATGCACAATCTAAACCTGGCGCACGTTTTCGAAACTACGAAAGCATGTGTTAGAAAGTGTTTAAAACAACCTGAATGGCTAAAACAACTACTTTGAAGTAAGTAAGAACTAACAATTATGGATGTGTTGTAATTTTCACCTACCATTAATGACTTCGCAAATTGCAAATGCATTTAGGTAAATGTTCTTATGCGAACGTCCCCTAGTTGGTTCAGTGGTTAGTAAGTTCCTTTCTAACCCTTGTACTATTCTATATTCTACCACTTTAGTGAATTCTCTTGATGTGCATACTTTGACACTTTCAACACTTCAACTCTTACAAAGTTACAACAACACCTACTCCTTAGTGAATAGCAAAGTTGCTACTCCACAGGACTAGGAATTTTTGTAGGACGCTCCAAATCGAGCAGATAATCTCTGCAGTGCGTGCCCGGCAGCATCTCTTCGCGATCGTCGTGCATAGCCTTGAGGAGCTGCACCACCCATATGCTTGCGTCTGTCCATATTCTGCCGAGGTGGAGGGGGAAGGTGGGGGCGAGGGGAGGTGGGGGGGGGAGGGGAAGAAGGCGCGGGTGGGAAGGAGCATGGTTAGAACAGGCCTCTGAGCCGTTGGCAACCATTGATGTGGAATGTAGAGAGAGGCGTTGTTGGGAGAATCTGTACTTGCAAGCTTGGAACGAAACGTTTGTAGAAGAATGAAACATCAAGAATACCAAGAATATCGCGGATCATTATACACACGTGCCTTATGCCAAAGGAGGGAGTCACGAGCAATGATTCCTCAAATTGGAAAGAAAGATGACGCAAGCTAACAATGAAGAAGATTCACGTTTTTATTCACAAACCAGTAAGCACTAAAGCAGTCACTTTCTGTTCACGCAACCTAACGAGAGGTAAATCCTCACAACCATACTGCAGGAACTTCTACTACACACAGGATATGCTCGAGCGGGACGACACACTGCGCAGGGCTACCAACGCGTGAATCCGCTCAAGGCAGAATGTACCGATAGCTAGAGTCTTATTCACGATAGCCTCAACGGACACGCCCTGGCCCACTGGCGCCATCAGCTCTAACAGGCCGTGCACTCCCGTGGCCGCTCGTAGACGGGCTTCAGATGCTCAAGCTTCGCGACCTCGCGATTTGCTAAGAGTATGATTGCAACGCGAGCAAACAACTTTGGTGCTTGAACATTGCTGCGTGTGCTACAAATGCTTGACAATCGTCACCTGGATAAAGAACGGGTCTCGTAGTTTACCCGATCACACCACAACACAACAATCTCAATTTTTTTAGCCTAACAGCCTTCGGCAAGTGCCAGCGTAATCGTACGGCCCGCATGAGATGCTATCAACATGCTTTCCTTGAGAGTGATCAAATTCTCGCGTTTCTTTGTTCGAGGCACTTGTACTTTGTGCACCTTACCCTCGATTTTATTCGTTATCAAATGGTACATCATTGTTGACCTCTGTCCTTCCCCTACTATCCCCTCTCAGGGCACGGTACACGGTTGTTCAAGGGCTGTTCAAGACGCGTTCATCCCGAGACACTTATCAGATTACCCGGTTAACCTATACTCTTTTGTGACTTGATGCACCACTGTCAATCAAATTTTGTGCGCGTCTTGACTGACGTGCTTGCGAATGAGGGTCAAGATGTCTTTGACCGGCACGTTCGTCAGAACAAACTTGTTGCTCTCCATCACTTGTTAAGATTGCTAACAATGATGAATTTTGCACATCTGTTAATTTCGCCGCGCCGCAATGAAGTTGTTACGGGGGCCCCAATTGGCGAATTACTTACGAGGCTTACTACAAATTGTGCTTCGCCAAATGAGTTGATGTCGCACTGTAGAAAGCGCTTTGCCACATTGATGAAATATGCCTTTGGATCCAAGAGGACGCGTCCCCTTGTGAAACATGTTCCTTTCATATTCATCTTGATGCAAAAATCTTGACCATTCTTGTTTGACCACCGCTCAAGCTCTTTTGAACTCTCTATTTGTCATGTCCAATATTTTAAACAAATGTGTAACGCGGCCTATGGACCAGATTCTACATTGGGATTCCAGATTTTTCCTCGGTATTAACCGAGTCAAGTGTGCTTTCATTCTGTCATTCCTGATCTTCGAGGCACACTTGGTGACTCTTAGCTCCAGATCCTTCCGTCTGTCAATTCCCGTTTCATTGTGCATATCTTGTCTCGCCGACTTCGCACCTACTATTTGTCGAATGATATAGTAGTGTTCTCAGCTTTTCTTCTTAATCGCCTAGATCACCTGTGAAGAATCATATAAAAGTGTTGTACTCTGGTCGCTGGTAGGTACGTTTTTTTCCTGAATGCTGGTACGCTTGTTCCCACCGTCCCCCTTCACCCACCAATTGAACCAAAAAGTGGCAGCGAAGGTAGCAGCAGAGACGAACCTTCAGGACAAGCTGTAGGTAATAAAGGAGGCGCTGAGGCAGAGGGGTGTGGCGAAGAAGGAGGTGGTGGAGGAGCGAGACAAGCTGGCCGATATGCTACAGGTGAGAGGGACAGGTAAAAGATCTTCCTTGCTCCTATCTTCATCACCTTGTTGAGTGGATTCGACGTGCCAAGCGCATGCGACTTCACCTCCTCGTCCACTCTACATTGTTCGACCTCATGCACATAATCGGTAATAGGCGTCCCAAGATGCTTCTTCGTCGCCGCCACGCCCTCGAACATGCCTCCCTATCGTGGTTATTCTGCGTTTACAGCTGCATGTACAGCTCCTCCCGCATATCTGGCTTTCGACGGACCATCTTGAGGATGCGATCCAGCGTTTGCGCCATCTCACGTTTGTCGGTGATAAGCGCGCCATTGAGCCCCATATAGTGTAGAATGTCTTTGAATATTCGTACAACTTTCCTTTGTAGGTCTATGGGTAGTTGAGTGAGCGAGGTCCACATGGGGTCATGTGGAAAAGGGATCATCGGGAGGGGCAAGAAGGACAGCAATGGAATGCACATAACAATATATAAACGATTTCGTTGAAAGCACACGAGACTTTGCGAAACTACCTTGTATGGAGAACCTTTGTTAGTACAATTCATAGCACCTACCAACCTTTGCTCCTACCATTTGAAAGATCAGCATGTCTTCGAATATCGCCCGGTCGGAGCCATCATGCGCACCACTAGTTGAACCACGAGGTGGAGCGCAAGCATCAGTAGTGGCGAAGCTGCAGCGCAAAGTGGAGGTAGGGAAGGCTTTTGAGACGTCTCACATATCTTCTCTTTTTTTTCCTGAATGCTGGTATGCTTGTTCCCGCCGTCCCCCTTCACTCACCAATTGAACCAAAAAGTGGCAGCGAAGGTAGCAGCAGAGACGAACCTTCAGGGCAAGCTGTAGGTAATAAAGGAGGCGCTGAGGCAGAGGGATGTGGCGAAGGAGGAGGTGGTGGAGGAGCGGGACAAGCTGGCCGATATGCTACATGTGAGAGGGACAGGTAAAAGGCGGAGCCATATGTGGGATTTTTTAGCAGCTTAAAGAGCATTTTCAGGTGGTAGAGGTGTTGAATGCACGTCAATTCGAGTGCATGTCAGCCTAACGTCCTGACAAATGCTCGTGTCATTTGTACTTACATAATTTGCACGAGCATATGTCATAACGCATGGCTGTTGAATTTTACCATCTCTGTTTTTGTCTTCAAGTCTACATGCTTGATAATGTAGGAGAAATCCAGGACTTTCCAACGATACCATGATCGCCTTATTCCGACCAAGATTGCCCAAGTTACAAGATTTCCAAGTTTTGGGAATTCTATCTCATTTTGAGATAGTATATACATTGGATTAGGGTGGCTAGAAGTCTAGCATGGGTCGCAAATGTTGCAACACCTAGGCAAAATCCAACTAGATTGGATTTCGTATGTGACATCTCAAGGACCTCATGATGAGGGTTGCATCCTTGCTGCTAGGAAGGTTCCAGCTATCCTTCCCTAGCTCTTGAAGAACCCCTTCCCTCTCATGGTTCGCTTGGAATCCCGAACTCCAACTATCCTATGCCTAAATGCTCGCACAACTTCCACCATTATAGTCAAGCGGCTCGTGGACGTTTTTACTTTGTTCTCACTCTAGAGACCATCAAATTGGAGATGGTAGCTAAGGCTAATGTGCATAATCCTATCGAGCGGATTTGCGTTTGGTTGAGAGATGAATTCGTAGTAAGTTCTTAAAGTGACGGATCCTGAACTAGAAGAGGGTAGCACTTGGCAAGGGAGGGATGGTTCGCAGTTGAAGAGGTGGTGGAGGAGCAGAATCTACTAGCGATCGTATAGATGAGAGGAACAGCGAAGGTGCAGATGAGGAATATAACATGTGAGATCCTTGTAGGGGATGCATGCATTCATCCAAGGTTCAACTTTCAATATCAATATTTCCTTTTCTTCATACGCACAGATCAGCTATGCAAGGAAGCAGCACAAGCATCTAAATCCCATCTCCTTAAATTTATGGAGAATAGACAACGGTGCCTTGGACCGTTACCTCCTCTGCCCCTCTCTACCCCTCACTCCCTGCGCACCTCGTCGCACAAACAGATGGCGAAACAGCCAGTCAAACATAGACAGTACAGAACCAAACTGCCAAGGGAAATGAACCATACTAGATATTAAAAAGCAATGATATCAACTGACAAATATAGTTTTCAAAACATATACAAATCTAGACAATACGGAACCGAACTAACAAGGGAAACGAACCATAGTAAATATTTAATTAGAAAAAAGATATCAATTGACAAGTAAGAGATCGGAAACTGTAACGCTGTACAGAAGATCCAAATACATCATCGTACAGCAATCAAGCCGAACTGCTCTGGCGTGCCTGTGCAACAACCTTCAAATCACATCTACTGTCCGAGCCATAACTCTGCAATGGCAAAACTTTTTGTGAGGCAACTTTGCTAATTCAAAAGCTGATGATGCACGTTTCGTTGTAGCGGTTTTTCAGCTTACCCCTATCAAGGGTCTGCACAACACGCTGTGCAACGTTCAAGGTACTCTTGTTGTTTTGACCAAGTCCCTCTTGATCTCTCTCTCTCTCTCTCTCTCTCTCTCTCTCTCTCTCTCTCTCTCTCTCTCTCTCTCTCTCTCTCTCTCTCTCTCTAATGGTCCTTGTATTGATATAGCAGCCAAGTACAAGCATGCAGGTCATAGAGGCATAGGTAACAAACATGCAAGACACAAACACCGCAAATCTACAACTCCACTAGGGGCTCAATGACTGCGAAGCAGTCCCCAAGGTGCAACTCATCCCCAATCCCCCCCAAAGGCGGGTTCTCTGCAGCTGCAGCCTCCCCTAGCTTGAGCAGGAGTCCTACCGACTGGGCCCTTTGTAGGGCCACTGACCAACGCTGCCTGAACTGATGCAGGAACTTTGCAGCATAGAACGACTTGGAGTCGGCGTTGAAGTGGCGCCGAGCTGCAGTGTCCGCGAGCAGCTTCAGGAAGACCGGCACCTCGGCACAGGGGCAGCCATAGGTATCCACCGCCAGTGGGAAGAAATTCACCATCTCCGGCCGGGCGGTGTAATGTTGGATCTTCTTGTCAGCCTGCTCCCGGGCCGCCCAGCCCCGGCCCTTCTGTGCCTCAGGGTCTCTTGTACAAATGGGATCCGTAATGGTGACGTCACACACGTAGACAGCACCGCTGCTTCGGTCTGTCATTGTAAAGTCTGCAGTCTGTTCCTCGATGGGGCAGTAAGCCGTGGTCTCTCTCTCTCTCTCTAATGGTCCTTGTATTGATATAGCAGTCAAGTACAAGCATGCAAGTCATAGCGGCCTAGGTAACACACATGCAGGTCACAAGCATCACAGAACTACAACTCCACAAGAGGCTCAAGCACCGCGAAACAGTCCCCTAGATGCAACTCATCCCCAATTCCTCCCACGGGCGGGTTCTCAACCGCCGCCGCCTCCCCAAGCTTAAGCAGAAGGCCCACAGATTGGGCCCTTTGCAGGGCCACAGACCAGCGTTGCCTGAACTGGTGGAGGAACTTTGCAGCATAGAACGATTTGGAGTCGGCGTTGAAGTGGCGCCGAGCCGCCGTGTCTGCCAAGAGCTTCAAGAAGACTGGTACCTCTGCACACGGGCAGCCGTAGGTGTCCACAGCGAGAGGGAAGAAGGTCACCGTCTCTGGCAGGGAGGCGTAGTGCTGGATTTTCTTGTCCGCTTGCTCCCGAGCCGCCCAGCCCCTGCCCTTCTGCGCCTCAGGGTCCCTGATGCTAATAGGGTCGGTGATGGTGACGTCGCATACATAGACGGCCCCACTGCTCCTGTCTGTCATTGTAAAGTCGGCTGTCTGTTCCTCAACGGGGCAGTGCGCTGAGGACTCG